TAAGCATCTGTGGTAAAGACCTGGATTCTTCATCATTACAAAACACTATTTTTTTCTTTTTCTTTTTTTTTACAAAAGACACATTTTTCTGGCCATGAGCAACAATACAAATTACTTTTAATGCTATTGCTCATATGATGAACCAACTTCTTATAAACTATCTTCTGTACCATTTTTTGACTAGCATCCCTACTAAAAAGTTGAATCAGTAAGCTAATAATAGACGGTGAGTTGGAAAAGAAATACTAAAGTACAATTTGGGTAGTGTTTATTGTGCAATCTTTTCTCTTTCCTCAACCTACCCTCTTTGCCAAGAAAACAATTTATAGTTGGAGATGTCTTAGGCTTTGCTAAGGAAATGGAGCTATTGCAAGTGGCTATGTCTCCCTTCCTCATTCCTCCTCAATCCCTTTGTCTCTCTGCTGCTCTTCACTGCTTCTACTCATAGCTGGTATCACCAATCTGCACTTCTCCGCTCCCTCACTTTTCTATATGTCTCAACAGTTATCATCTTCTAAGCTTTCATATAAAAAGGCATTTTACAAACTGTACCAGCTGAGCAATGATAAAGTGACCAATTTTATAGCTATGTACAATTTCCCTTTCTTCCCAGCTGTGTTTTTTGCTAGCTACTTGGACAACTTTTCTGCTCACAGTCAGTCTGTAGTTGAAGAATGAGGGATCAGGAAAGCTGAATCCTTAAGATGCCTGAGATATTCAGATAACACTACTGATTTGATTTGTACCTCTTTCTCTAAGTAACTTTGGAAAAAGTAGTAATAATCAGGTGTACTGTTCATATTTTTTTTCACCATACTATTTAAGACACCTTACAACTTTAAAGCTTCCTGAATTGTTACTGGAATCCTTCTTTTCCAATATATTCAGATTATACTCTAAGTGATACTAACCTTCCTAATGACTTTTCTTCTGGTCCTTTAGAAACTCATAATTCCATCAAATCTGAATTTCTTTATTGATTACAAGATCCATTCAAAACTCATACTATAGCTAACAGAGAGCACCTGCTCCACAAATATTATCTTCTCACTATCTCCAAAGCCCAAATTATCTTTTTGTACCTCTGGCCTTGCTTTTTCCCTAAAATGTCTTTAATTTCCCTAAAAATTCCCTTGAAGCCCATTTCTAGTCTCCTGCACACTGAAAGGCACACAGGAGGGACTAAAATATTTGCTTTATTTGTTGATTTGCCATTTAATTTTAGGGAAGCCATTAATAGGATAGAAATTATTGTTAAAATCAACTTTTTCTGAAAGCTTATGTTAGCCAACATTTTATTTTCTTTAATATTACTAAAATTAAAAAAAAAAAAAAATCTTTTAAATTTTTCCATAAAGTTTTCAGGATGAATTTCTCACATTGAAAGAGTTACTCATTTTGACATGAAGTTTTCAATAAATTTTTCTGAACTTCATATGAAATATATGATGAACTGTAATAAATTATATATCTGATTAAAGATTGATTATTTTTAACCTTCAGGTAGCAAAACATTATAGAGTTAAATACATTTAACTAAGAAAATGTTTTTCTTGGGAAAAAAGTCCTAGAGTTTACCATCTGACATTTTAATTTTTGAGTATGAGTTGGCTCTTCTACACAGATTAAATTTAAAAGAAATATAAGTACCAATTTTCTTCAGGAATAGAAAATGAAGGATGTGTGGACATCTCTCTTTGACTAGTCTGTGTCAGTCTTCTGCACCATGATATTACTGTTGTCACATATCTAGATTGAATATATTAAAAGAAATATTTGAAAAATGAACCTGTATAATATTTATAAAAATATTCAGAAAGTGGAAAATCATTAAGACAATTTGGGAAAAAAGGATAAAGAAAATATTCTAAAGTGAGGCATTTACTGGGTAATTCTCTGAATCTTTTTCATTGGAAATAGAAAAGCCAAGTTTTTCTCATTATTCATCAAAAATAAAATGATGTGCTCACATTCATGATTGAAAAGATGAGAATTAAAACTCAGTTCAAATTCAAATATCTAAATTCTCTTTTTAGTTTTTCAAAGAATAATGAGTTTCATTAAATTTTGTCATGTAAATGTATTTACACATAAGACTAAGAGAGCATTTGCTTTTTAAAATTTAAAAAACACCATTAATGCATACATGCATACATATATATACATATATATGTACATATATACACACATATATACATATACATGTAATTATATATAACTCACTGAATATACAAAACAGGTGTCAAGTGTAATAAAATGAATGATCTAAAGTGATTAGCTGAAACAAATAGCAATGTTTGCTAAAGACATGACCTTTTTGAGGCAAATTATTCAAACTAGCAATGAGTGTTAGAACATTTAGACAAAAATGTAATAAATCTCAACATAAAAATAAACTCAAGAGGCTGAAAAGCAATCCTTTTGTGAACATTCTCAAAGTAAAATCACTAAAATGTCAAGAACATCATAAGTGCAATTATAACAAATTACATAAACCAAAAAAAATTTACATAAAGCTGATTTTAAGAATCCTCTCCATTTTAAGAATAATCATCAACTAATTAATTTTTTATAAAAGTTATTTATGGTTGCAAACCATAATTCAAATTGCTTAGGAGATTAATTAGTTAGTTGGTTAACACAGTTGACCACACCACTATAGCAAGCAAGTTATATCTATAACACATTCACTTTGAAAAATCACTTGAATACAAATGGAAATGATTAAAGCCGACCTGATCTATTTAGTTATGCTAGATGTCAATATAACTGTGAAATTGTGAACTAGCTGAAATTATTTCATTCACATTATACACATGTAAAAACTAAAACAATATATAACATGTAAATGTATGTTTCCTCTCTGTCAATTAAAAGTAAAAATTATTTACTAACATGAAAATGATTTTTAAAATTGCTTTTCAGTACCTTTCATATGGTCCAGGGTGTTCAATCTGAATTAACTGATCGTGTCCATCAGGAAAAGTTAACTTACACCAACCTAAGTTGAGACCTTGATTTACCTTAAGAAGCAAGGAAGAAAGGTAAGTTTTATTGTTCTAAAATTTAAAAAAAAAACCCTCTTCTAACTTAACAATTAAAAAAAAGAAGTGTATAAATCATTAAAAATTTATTTGAACAATGTAAGTTATATTTTACATGATATATGGATATTATTTAACCACCACTCTTATCTATCAAAAGAAAAATACTAGTCCCTCTCTTTTAATGAGTTACCTTTATAAAGATGACTATTTGCTACACCTATTTTATTTTTGCTAAGAAATTCAATGAGATCAGTAAAGCCTCTTAACAGATTTTAAACTTCAAAAATTAACTGAGATAGAACAAAGAAAATAAAGTACCACACTATTTCCACAAATAAACATTAAAAAACAGATTTCAGTCTGAAATATACTCACCTGTCTCTTTTCAATAAAAGAGCCAAAATTCCAATTTAGGGTTAGAGTAATGCCATCTAAAAAGATAACATGTACTTTGTCATCAGAGTATGCAAGAAATCTTCCCACGCTGGGTATGAACAATTCTCTCAAAAGCAAAGGCAGTACATTGCTATCATTTATTCCAGGTACCTAAAACCAAGTAAGTAAAAATAGCAGGAGGTAGAGTTATCCATTAATAAGATTTAAATAATTAATGAACATTGGGCAACTTTCAGATTCTAATTCAGAATTTCACATAGTGGAATCCTTATGTATATTTTAATTTTTCCAGAAGTGGATAGCCAGAACAGTCTATAACAAGCAGATTAAATTCTATTATCTTGGGAAAGTCACTGTTCTGCTCTAAACTTTACATAGAACATAGACAAAAATTAGGAACTACAGCAACATAAAGTTTATAATCAATTTAGTATAGATACAGATTGAGAGTCACTTTCTCTAAGTCAGCATTAAAAAACTTACTTTTACAGTTATGGAAAGAGAGTAGAATACTATAATATCAATGTTTACAATAACTATGTTTTTACATACAAATCCAATCAATTCCCTCTCATTTAAAAGAAGAAACAAAAACAAAAACAAATTATATACAAGAAAAATGTAACTTAAAAGACTGATTTTGCAGTATTTATTAAGTGGATATTTTTCTAAATAAACCAATATTAATATTACAAAGAATTTCTCACACGACTTAGATGAACATAATTTGAACTCAGGAGTATATATATGTAAACAATAAAACAATTAAAAAATATCTTGCTTCTGAAATAATTTTTGAGATACCATTTTCCAGCAGCATATATTATAGTTATGGCTTAAAGAAAGCCTCGTCTTGGCACAATGCTGAAGAATCCTGTGAAGATGAAAAACACTACTTAAACGTTTGCAAATAATGGCATTTTTCCAATTCTAGCAAATCATTCTCTATGCCATATGACATTTTAGGCAAGTAGTTAATTTCTACTGAAATATGTCCAGACCTATTTTCTTCCAGAAATTCTTAAGCCCACCGAAGGATGTTGCTTCTCTGTGATAATCCTACCTAGTTAAAGTTATTCCTCTAATTTTTAGCAACGAAATGACTCCAGATAGAATTTTCAGGTGTTCCATTTTAAGAGGTGATAGATTCATAGTACCTAAAAGGTTCAGCATAGTCTAAGAGTGGTGGGGATGTAAGTCAACTGTCCCTAGGAAATCAAATTACAAATATGCTCCTTCAAATCTATTTTGGAAGTTGCTTAGACATAATTTATAAAAATAAATAATTTAATCCAACAATCCACTTTGATTCTTCTGAGTGCTACAGATTAATTCAGAGAATTAAAAAGAAAACCATATGAACCAAAGAATCCAACTATATTTCCTCTGTTGCACACTATCAGAAATTTTTATTATTCTGAGAATAATAAAGAGGTATGAAAAATTTAAATGTATCATCAAATCCTCAACTTGATTCCAAGGAAAAATAATGATGTCAAACTTACCTAGAGTCACCTATTTCCTACCAGCACTTGCTTGCCATATATGGATGTTTCTCCATATTTAACTTTACACTTTAAAGAGAGAAGTACTCTTTTAATGATATAGTGATTACCTTATTTTATAAATGATGAGACCAGAAAAATTGATAGATTTATCAAAGATACATATTTCCATTGTATCTACCAATTCTTAATCTTATCCTAACCATTAGAGAAGGTATCAAGATACTCAGACACATAATACAATTCAGTTCAATGTGAAGAACTTACCTAGCTGCCTGTTTAATAAGAGAACACACCGAAAACAGACTTCCTGGTCTATCTGGAGGAAGGTTATGTACTGAATACATTTTCTCTTCTCTCTGAAAATTAGTTTAAAATGAAAAATCTCATTAATATTAAAAAGTGGCCTTTATTACTTAGCTATTTTTTCTTGAAATATGTAGTTACATAGAAACAAAGCAATCAGTTAACTTGAAGAACATAAAAGGTATATTTTAAAGGTATTTTATGATGCTTTTCCATTTTCCCATTTTTTCTATCTATTCAAAAGTTAACTTTTGAATGGCCTATAACTTACTGCCCAATTTAAATGTTGGCTATACTTAACATGACTTAATTTTTCTACACATTAGCATGAAACGTATCTCAAGCTTTTACCTTTAGACAAAAAATAACTATATATCAAAAAACTATTTTAATTGAATGACTTAATCTTATCCTAACTGTCTTAATGGAATATTTTATTAATGGAATAACTATTGCTACAGTTTGTTTAAGACAATATTATTTACAGCCTTGGGTTCTTGAATTTAAAAAAAATGTTATTTTGTTACTCCTTCTGTATTTCTTTTCTCAGACTCTTTAATGCTAGTGTTTCTGAGGATTCTATCTTTAGCCTTTTCTGGCTTCCTGATTTTTCCTGGTTATTTTCACAGGGTTCAAAGCTATGTTTATAATCATAATAGCAATGGCTAACATTTATTAAATAGATATGTGCTAGGTGCTATGCTACACAGTTTACATGTATGATCTCATTTACTTCTCAAGATAATTATGAAAGATAAGAACTATTAATGCCTATTTTTAGATGAGGAAACTGAGGCTTGAGGGCTAAGTGGTAGTAGAGATCTGTTTTGAACTGCAAGAGAGTGCAGCCCACAATTTACCATCAGTGAGAGATGGCCTTTGAAGTCAGACAGAGTTGGATTCAAATCACAGGTGTGCCTCTCATGAACTATAATGATGGGCAGGTTACACAACCTTTGTAAGCTTCAGTGACTATAACGTGTGAAATGGGGATACCACCTATCATCCAGATCGTCCTGAGGATTAATGATATAACACAGAAATAAAGCACATGGGACAGAATTTAGTATATACTAGATACTCAAAAACCAGTCTTTGCCCTTTTATCCTTGACTATAGATTTGACTATCTAAATCTCCACTGGGCTTCTCCCCTGGATATCACAGACATCTCAATTTCGACAAGTCAAAAATGGAATTATCTTCCTTTCAAAATTTGTATTTCCTCCTTCTCTACTTTGTATTTACCTCCGGTATGCCAATTATCACATGTTGTTCCCTCTACTCAGTTCCCTCCTCCATCACCTCCCTGGGTCACACTAACGCCTCCTATTCCTTCCGTCTCAGGAAAACCATTATGGAGGTCCCACAGAGAGGGTGAATCCCCTAGTGATATCCACAAGCACAGACCCTCTACTCCTGCTTCTTGGTTTTCTTTATAATTTCAATTTAATAGTTTTTTACTTAATGTCTGTCTTCCCCACTAGAATGGAGCTTCATGAAGTAGGGGCTGTATTTGTTTTGCTCACCTCTGTAATCCCAGCACAGTGCTTAGCACATCGTAGGCACTTAAAATATCACATATTAATTATTTGTGTCTTTCTCTATTGGATATTGAGTTTTCTGAGCATTCTTGCTTTTCTACTACCCTATGTCTTCAATTCTAAAGTGCTTATTTTTCATAATTTAATCTCTCTGAAATCTGGAATCATTTTATAATTAAGAGTGTCTTACATTCATTATCAGGCAGATGGGGTTGTGATATAATTTAAATATTCTATTGATCCTGGTAAGGTCAACAAGCAGCCATCATCAAAACAATTTAGACTTGATAAAATTTCGGTTTAATACAGGACCTGGTACCACCACTCATTAATTTATTCAATGATTTGACATTATTTTCATCTCCTTCCTTATCCCCGATATCTAGGCAGTCATCAGTTCTATCTCCTTAGTATTTTTTTGTGTCCATTCCTGTCTTTTCTTTCTCATCGCCACTGCCTGGCCCTCATACTTTCTTCCTTGAACTACTTACTATACATGTCTTCTAACTGGTTTTACTTACAGCTTGAAGTTCCACCTCTTTCCTACCCCAGTTCACCTTCCTCTGAAATGATCTTACAAAAATTTGATGTCACTTTCCTTCTTAAATCTTTCACTGGCTCCCCAAATGCAACTGGGTTTCTCATGCCCCATTTTTGAGTTAGCCCAGCTCAGTGGTCTAGCCTCTTCTCTGAACATCCCCCAACATGCTATCTCTGTTCTAGCCTACTGAACAGCAGCATTGTCATTTCTTTCGACACTCCACACTCGCCCCAGGCTGTAGCTTCCAGTTAAGTGGCATTTATCTACTGTTCTACACACTAGCAATAACGGTACTTTGAACAGTACTTTGAAGAGGTAAGCCAGGACTTACCTCTAGCGTGGGTTTATTAGCAAACAAACAATTGATCAATAAGAAAAAGTCACACAGTATAGAGTGCTAGAAGAAAAAAAGATGAGGGTACCGTTGATAGGGAGTGACATGGGTAGCTTCTTTAATTTGGATACTCAGGAAAACCTCCTTGAGGAAGTGACATTTAAGTAGCAATTTTAATGACAAGCAGCCAGCCATGCAAAAAATTGGGCAAGTAGAGTGTTCCCTTAACTACATGCTCCTCTGCCCTCCATTCTTCTTCATACAATTCTTCCTTTAGAATTACAGATCCTAGCTTAGCCATGCCTTCCTTCAGAAGGCTTTTCTGGAGTCGCCCCTGCCCTAGTGTGGTCTCAAAACATCAAGTTCTTATTTCTTCTTATTACACTGTGAGTACCCGTAACTCTTTCCTAGTTAAGTTTTTAATTATATAATAATTCATTACTACGTTTTTCTTGGGAAAAAAGTTTCCAAAATACAAGTTAAGTCCCTCCCAATCCTCCTCCCTCACAAAATCGCAGACTTCTCCTCAAAAGTAACCACCTAAAGGTATATCTGCCCAGCTCTTTCTTTGTGCGTTTACATGTGTATTATATACAGTACTATATAGGTTTTAGGGGAAAAGATATCATACATGTTCTTATACAACTTTTGCAAACAACAGTGTCTTGGAGATCTTTCAATCTCTTTCTCTCTTACGCACCTACATTTTCCTCATTCTTTTGAACTGCTTCACAGCGTTCCCATAATCTGATCACGAAAGCTTACTATAACATGTCCCTACTGATGAACAATTTAGATTGCTTCCAGTTTTTTGCTACTACAATGACACAATCAACATCTTTGGCAATGCTTCTTTGTATATACATGCTAATATTTTTCTAGGATACCTAGAAGCAGAATTTCTGGCCAATTTTGCTTGATATTATCAAACTGGTCTCCATGAACCAGTTTACACTCCAATGGATACTATGAAAACACCCCTTTACCCACACCCTTGCTGGAAATAGATAGGATCATTTTAAGTTTTTGACAAGTTGATGAGCGAACAATCTTATGTCATTATTTCAATTTCCATTTCTCTGATGTAAGTGGTAAGGTTGAACATGTCTTCAAATATTATGGGTTATATACATTGCCTTTTCTATTCTTATCATAACTATTCTTGTCCTTTATTTGTTTTACTATTACGATTTTTTCATTATTGACTTATAGATTATTTTCTTCCATACCTTTGCCTGCTTTTTTGACTTTATCTAATTTAAGTTAAATATTTAAAATATTTAAATATTTTCTTTTTGGCCTTCCAGCTTCCCCTAACCCAAAATTACAAACATTGTTCTTCCATATTTTCTTTTAACAATTATTAAGTTTGGTTTCTTATATTTAGCTCTTTAATCCATCTGGAATTTATTTTGGAGTATAAGTGAAAGTAAGGAGCAAGCAATTTTATCTCGAAAAGAGAGCCAATTGTTTCTAAATCTTTTCACTCAAGTAGCGAGAGGAGAGTGAAGATGTTGCACACAGAGTGGAGCCTAAAGCAGTCCACCACAAAGGCACAATTTGTTTAGAAGTTTTGCGTTTTATCTCCAAAACTTATGCTTCTATTCCATGTGTCTGCTTCAGTATAAAAATTATCACCCCTTCCCCTGACACCTTTGTGTAAAACTGAAGCTCCAGGAAAATGTTGTATTCATCTTGTAGTTCTGTGAACTCCTGATACACAGCAGTGAGCAGTGTAGATATGCATACCCACTTCATTTGCCTGCTTGACTGTTGCATGCACTACACACACACACACACACACACACACACACAGAGTGTGTAACTGGTTATACTCTCATTTGCTTGTTTACCTACTGGACTGTGAACCCCTTAGAGCAGGAACTCTTCATCTTTACCCAGGGCCTAACAGAGCACCTGCCCGGGAGTGTTCAATTAATATTTACTGACTAAATGAATACTTTCCTACAAATAGAACCTAGCAGGGGATCTGTTCCAATATATACTAGAATAGTTATGAATGACATAATATTTGTAATTTACTTAAAGATAAATAGGGAGTGGAGAGAACAGTGGGAAGTATAGATGAAATGAGCCAGGTGATGGGTACATGAAGGTCTGTTACACTTGTCTTTCTACTTTTGTATATGTTTGAAATTTTCCATAGTTAAAAAAAAAACCTGCTCTATTTTTAACTCCTCTCTAGCATCTCTGATAATATCATCACTTAAATACTCCATTCTGTAATAGAGAAAGAAAACACATTTATTATGTTCCATTTGCAAAGTAAAGCCGTGTGATATTATGGTGATCCCAATAAAAGGGTGAATGTCAAATGTTGGGAACAAGCAAATTAAGATTTATTGGCAAAATATCCACATTATTACATTTTGATCTGATATATTAAATATATCATGTTATTTTTCACTGTTTTCAACAACACAAAACAATCTTGTTCAACTTTCTAGTTGTGTGGAAAGATTTAGGAGTTAAGAGATATTTAACATATGCAAACTTTACATGTTGGGGAAAACAGAAAGTGCTTTTTCATGTGCAAGTATTAATTCAAAGAAGAAGATTGATTCAAAGTAATGCAGCTGGTTCTAGTGTTTCCTACTGATAAATTTTATGACATAAGAAATTTAACTTCTGATTTAAACACAAATTGCTTAGACAAATGGAAGACAATACAGGATGAGAATAGCTATAGTAAAAATAAGGTGGTGAATAATTACTATGCCAATGATGGTAGTAAGGTTTTATTAATTGTCCTGACAAGTAAGAAGCAATGTTATATAGAGATCAAATTTCCCATATACATTCAGAATTATCTGGGAACAGCTCTATAATCAAAAATCTCCTTAAGCTCTGTCAGCTTACCTCTTCTGATCCTTCTTGATTGGAACAGTATGTAAAATAGTTCCCAAAATAAGCTCCTTCTGATTTGAAAACAGATCCATCTCCAGGATAAATCTCTATTGAGTTCATATTTTTATGGGTAAGTCTAAGGAAAAGAAATAATCATTAAAAATTTTTTATGTAATTGAGATTAAAACATATATGAAGGCAATCGTCAAAAACAAGCAAAGTATGAGTTTTTACCTATTTAGCAAATGGATAATTGTACAATCTCCACCCCCAACCAGCTAATTTTTTTTTTATACAAAGAATAATAGAGCACACCGAATTGGTCAATGTATCTATTTCAACAACTGAACTCAGTTTCTGGAAGTCAGACATCTTGTCTTATCATCTGGCATCACCACTGCCAATCACAATAGCTGGCACATAACAGTCACCAAAGAAATGCCCATTGCATAGGCGCTAAATATAATAACTCTAGAACCTGAAAATAAGATTCTTCTTTAAGAATGAAACTAGTTGAATCAATACCTGATGGAAGAGATTAGCCATGTGGAGGAGCCATCCCTAAGAGAAGGTGATTGATTGTAATCAGGTACAATCAAGGTATTGGGTATACAATGTATAAAAACTTAAGGCAAGTCAATTTTATTGAAACATATATGAAGATTACATTGTCAGAATTAAGTAGGTCTTCATGCAGGAAAAGGAGTGCCCAAAGAACGAACATTTCTCAATACTCTTCTAGCATTATTTAACAGAAGTGAACCTATGGATCTGGCCAATGCTAATAATATTCTGGTCACAAGAGAGGGCATACTTTGTGGTGAGAAAGGGATAATTCAATGGAACAGAGCAGGCAGAGAGAACAGCCATTCAATGAATATTTGCTGAGCAAATGAAGGCCAAAATCTCCCTTAGGCTACCTAACTTCTCTAATTCCATGCTCAATAGGCAACCTTCTGATGTGACTAATTCAGACAACTAGATCCCCTGATGCTTGGAAGGGGTGTCCTAAACTGCTGACGTTAAGTATTTCATTCACTAGCAAAACTAATCCCTCACTGGCTTTGGAGTTGTCACAAAAATCTTGTGAATATGGTTAATGTGAATTAGTAGCAAGACCCCTGTGTGTTCTAATCTAATTAAGTTTTGAGACCTGTAAACCTCAGGACCAAACACAGGAGCATGGTGGCCCCCACAAAACTATGTCGTCTTGTAGGAGTCTATCTATAAGGCTAATCCCGTCCCTTCTGTGACATCACTGAATAGGTGCCTTACCGATAAGTAATACCCTTGTACCAAACCACTTTCACTAGTTCAGGATAGGGATATTCTTCTTCATTAGACTGTCTCAGTGAAAGTGAATCGCAAAAATTCCACCTATGAAGGATAAAATAGAAGCTACTGATTCTGGTTGCACACATAATTACATTGAGAAGTCAACAAAATAGTGCATCTGTAACAAGATTTATTTCTGGCTTAATTCCTTAGATCAAAAAAGTAAAAATTAATATGAAACTATATTAACGAATTTTAAAAGTCTTATTTTTCATGCATTTTCAATTATCTCATTATTGAATCTCAGCACAGTTAAATACATTAACAATTTTGCTAACCTTTAAAATTTAAGATTCAAACAACAAATATTTACTGAAGTACCTATGGGGGCCAGGCACTGTATATACACTAAGGATACAACACCCAAAAAGCAAACATGGTCACTATCCTCGATGGAGATTCCTATCCTGCAGAGATGTTAAACAGTAAATATTGAGCATAAAGAAAGAATTAGTAGATGCTATGGGATTGACGGGAACCTCATCCTGTCTAGTGACTTGAGGATAACCAACCACAGGAAATAAGGCTTACACGGAGACCTGGAAATGAGCACTAATGAGTTGAAAGAGGAAAAGGGAGTGTTCTTGGCAGAAGAAAGGACAGGTGTAGTGGTGAAAGAAAGCTTGAACAAGCATTCTAGGGATTGCAAGAAGTCCAGTTTACCAAGAATAGGGAAAGCAAAGGCAAGGGTGATGAGAGACTAGAGGATTACAGATATTGGGGGGGCCTGTTAAGCCATATTTAAGGATAATAGATTTCAATCTAAAGCCAGTGGCAAGTTATTGAAAAATTGTTAATTTAAGAGTACAAATCTCTTTTGATGAGTACTTATAATACTGGAATTTCCTATTTTAACTAGATAATCATGACAAACTTGAAAATCATTCCCATATTTTAAGTTACAAATAGGTACTCAGAGACTACCTGGGATCAAATCTCAATTCTCATAGTAGCTGTGCCAATTTGCCTAGGTTATTTAACATTTCTGTGTCTCAAGTTCCTCTGTAAAATGGATTTACCTATTTCATAAGGATGAAATAGGTAAAGTACAACCATGCCTGGCACATAATGAGTGATGTGTGTTAGCTATTATCATTATCATTACACTATTTATACGAAATTCGTATTACAAATCTATAACCAATAGGTAGGTATTCATCTCTTAGTGAAAGTAAAAGGTTTCTATCTAGCCATCCAGAAGCATCACCATGTTTACCCCTTTTGAAAATGGACATATTTACAGTCAGTTAACCAAAGATAGGGATGGCCTCTGAGGCTAGGTATGAAAGAACCCATGATCATAAACTTGTCACATCGATGTTCCAACAATCAAAGTAACAGGCTCCACTGAATGGCAGCAGATGTTCCCCTGTATTTGCTCCTACAGAGCCCTGTGAAGATCCTTGGGCTATCCCTTACCACACCTTAATAATCTTTTCAGTGACAATGACCTTCACTAGATTCTAAGCTCTCATTCTCTGTCCTAGTCATCTCTCTAGTCTCTGTGTGTAACAAAGTATCTAGTGCATAGTCAGCCTTCTACAAACATTCAACTCATAGACATAGAGTAAGAAATGTAAATAATACATTTTCTAGGGAAATTTACTATCAGTTTAAAGCAAAATTTTGGATTAACTAAATGAACTTTCCTTATGACTAGTGATTTAGAAAGAAAAATTATCCTTTGGAGGACAAAAGGATATCCTTTGGTTCTGACAAAAGCTTTATGACAAGTAAGTCTTTCTTCCATTACCTGTGCAGGTGTGGGACAGGACAGCTGAGTAATAAAGCCCTGGGAAGAACAGAAACCTCTTTTCCTCCTTCCTCTGAAACATCAGAAGTTAACATTCTATTCTGGATGACATTTACAGCGATTCCAGCCACTCTGCTCATTTTATTATGGAAACGAAGTGCTAAAGACAAAGGATATTTCCATTCCTCTGGACAGGAGTTCACAGTCCAGTGCTGCTTTACCCACGTGTATACACATCTGTGCTTTGCATCAGGCAGAGGCAGTGCCTCCCTCCCTTCAGTTCCATTCACAAAACTCTTCTTCTCTAAAGGTTCTTTGGAATTCATCATCTGACAGTGAAGTTCATTTTCTTTATTCTTCAGTCTCTGTCCATATGTACAGATTTTGCCTGCTTTTTCAACTAGTTTGTCCTTTTTTACTTGATTATTTTTTTCTGACAATACTACAGATGAATCTGGCTTCTGGCTCACTTTACACAAAAAATGTACTATAAATACATGCTGAGATTTGGGCAGGCAAAGGTATGCATGACCATCTAAAGATGATATCTTCACCATGCCACTCTGCATGCATATCATGCCATCGTCAGCATCGAGACTGGGCCACCTCACTTCTGAGATGTCAAGGAAGATACGCTGAGTTGAGGGAAGAAAAAGAGATGGTGAGTATTTTCTGTTAACAGACCAATTTTTCCAAACATTTGATTCTTACGTATTGGGTAAAAAAGCTCTTAAAGTTTCATGTTTTACTACCTAGAATAAAGAAGAGCCAAGTGTCAGCTTATATATGGTTTTCCACAGAATACTGATATCGCTAAGATTACCTCCTTAAAAAGAGAGGTAAAACATACACACAAAATGAGAAAAAAGAAGAAAAAATTCATCCTGATTCTATTTAGTGTTATACATATTTTTGTTTAAAATGTACAATGAATTAGAAATAAATAGATTTTCAGCCCCTCCCAAAAGTCTATTCCGAAAAAGAATATAAACGAGGGAAGAGCAGCACTATGATGTACTGTATTAAAAGCAATCATAACTTAAATAGTATGGAACTAGCATAAAAATCATTGACAACAAAATCTCAGAGAATACAGAAACAGACAATCAGATTTTGAAATGTTACATGTGATAACATAAGCTTTTCAAGATGAGTGAGCGAAAGGGAAAGTATTTAATAAATGGTACTGGAATTATTGACTAGCATTTTGAAAATGCTATCTTAAAGAGTTATCACCTAGACTAAATAAGATAACATATATAAAGTACCTGTCCTAGTTAAGCACCTGGCATACCATATACTCATGTAAATTCCAGATGGCTTAAAGAGTAACATTTTTAAAAGCTGTATTATTTAAAGGTAAATTGATTCTAACCAATAGCAAAACACACTTGTAACAAGTTAAGTGCCTGATACATCTTTCCATTAAGATAAAAATAGTGTGTCAAATAAGTTTTTAAGCAATTAATCTTGTCAACAGTTAAACATTTCAACTCCCATTTATGTAAAACATTAAATTTACAAAAACTATCGTCAAGAAATCCTCTTAAATTTACAGTGCTATCGCTGTGTACAGATGTTAGTACACTAAAATTAAGGGTAGTATTCATTGATGGCAAAGCTGGTTTGTAGGATGGTCAGTTAAGGAAGTTCCCTTTTCTAGAATTAGACTATCTAACAATCCTACTGTAGCATCAGCAGCAAACTATGCAGTTTCAATTAATAAAGTTATTCAAAAGTTACAGTGGGAAAAATAGCCTTGTAGACTAAGTTACAGCTTAAGATTTTTTATGGCTTCTTTGCCATGAGACAATGTAATAGAAAACTACTTGGTAGGCAGGCAAGCATCATGACAGTAGTGGAAAGCAGTTAAAAGACAGAGTCTTCAGAGTTAGACAAACTGGGTTCAAATCCTGACTTTGCCACTTAGAAAATTTCCATGGACAAGTCAGGTAAACTCTTTGTGATTTAGTTCTCTCTCCTGTAAAAAGGATTTAATATCCAGCCAATATACCTGACAGGTTGGACACCCATTTTGATATGCAGGTACCCAAGGCATACTGGTGTTATTAAATACTTTTAATATTCATAGTTCTTGACACATAGTAAACCCTCAATAAATGATAGTTATAATTACTCCTAAAAGTTCAAAATAGAATATAAGCAAAAGAATAAAATTTGTTTAATGAGTAATTATACATGAGTAATTATACATCTCTATTACACATTAACAAATAACTACACATAACCTACAAAAATGGCCACATAATTTCTTAATTTTGACATCTCTGAGAATCAAAAATTTACCTATCTGAAATAATCCTTGGCAAAAAAAAAAAAAAAAAGAGATGAACAATATAATTTCTGTCTCAATCAATATACAAAATATCAAAACTCCCTAGACTGGTGAAATATAAAGGCTTATGCATTCTACAGCAGCAAGTCTATTTCCAAGTGTCATGAAAAAAAGAAAGACTAAATATTAAACTATCTTTCTAATTACTTATCCTCAAATATTAAAATTAGATTTAAAAATTACCTTTTTCCCTTCAGGTGGTATAATGCTTTCAGATAAAAAAGGGCAAGTGGCAAAAGAGTTTCGAAAATCTAGGGCTCGCTGTAGTTGCTCCTACAAAAAGATACAAATTTAATCTTAAAAAATGATTTGAAAATCAATTTGTAATCCAGAATACAAATTACTTTCCATATTCTAGCCACCTCAACAATATTTTGGTACTAAAAAGAGCAGTCTTTGTGTCATTTTTACTTACTCGGTAAGTGCTTATAACAAAGTGTGTCCTTTGACGAATTCTTTCTGGTTGTTCTAAAGGATGTGCTGAAACAGGGGGTGCTTTTTCAAATAAAAATTCAGAGCCACAGGGAGAAAGCTGTAGTCTAGAACTATCAACATATTGTACTTGCACTGAATCATCTTCATAAAGTACCATTCGCACTTCAGCTGCCATTACTATGACCATGGATAAAATGTCCTTCCAAGGAGAAGACTGAAGGAAGGAGGAAAAACAGTAGCACAAACGGTTCTCTTAATGTACAAAAGTTCTATCGAAATATCGAAAAAAGTTCTAACAGATGTATAATCTATGAAAGTAAGTAAATTACATTGCCATGGCATTTACTTTTGTTGGAGGAAAATTATCTTACTACATACCCTTAAATAATTTGCGTTGAAATCCTTAACAGAATGCCATGGTTAATCCTTAAGGTTTAACTCCAGTGTGGGAAGATAACCTAGAGGGGAAAGATAGCCCACCAAGTTATAACTGCCTTTACAATTTTAGTAGCTTTACTTCTCCTGAAGTTTAATTTCTGAAAATTATATTCTCCGGTGTCTCATTTCAAATAACGAGCAAATTCCACCTTTGCACTAAGAATACAGCAAATCATTTGTAATATATGCAAAAGGCAGGCAAAAAGTAACTATTAGGCCTAAAAGAAAAGAATACCTGGATTCTTGTCCGTAGAGGCTGGCATTAAGGAAACAGCTTCATGTCACTACTGAACAAGCAAATTAATTTCCTAGGGTCTTAGATTCATCCTCATCGCACTGATTTCAATTTCCTCTTATCCTTTCCTACCTCATCCCCTACCAGGACCTTATCTCCTTCTACTAAAGTGATCAAGATTCATCCTACAAAAGAAAATAACTTCCCACAGATACCACTTTCCCCAGTTTACCCCTATTTCCGACCAATAAACCTTTCAAGCGTAGCATCCAGTCATTGCCCATTTCTTCACCATAAACCTTCAGTCCACTGCAGTCCAGCTTTCTCCTTCGCCTGTTTCACTACAGTCACCAATGTCTCTCTTTCTACACCCAGTGACTTCAGTCTTCATCCTACTCAACTGGTAAAACTGACAGTACTGTACACCTTCTGCAACAAACACTTTCTTCCTCTGCCTTTTATTTAAAAAAAGAAAAGAAAGGCTGCCACATCTTCCCCTCGATGTCTACCTCTGTTTTTAATTTTATCATTCTTCATCATTCCCTTAAATCAAGGATCCTTTAATAAGACTGGACCTTAATCATGCCATTTCCTCTCTTCTTACTATACTCATGTTGATTTTATGCCCACTCTTGCTTTTTTTTCCTTGTTAAATCTTATTCCCCTTTCAATATATGTAATAAGCTACATATGATTAGTCTATAATCATTTGTGGAATATGTCAGGATATAAGTCAATATTAAATGATATGGTCTCTCCTAAAGATAAAACACAATTTTTTTTTTCTTTCTCTAAAGAATTTCCAAGTTGGCCTGACCTTTCTCCAGAGCTGTCAGCTGTCTGCTAGACCTCTCTTCATGTCCCTGTCCCACAGATAAATCAGACTCGACATGACTAAAATGGACTTTAATCACTTCCACCAAAAAGACTTCTGTAATATCTCCTAATTTCACTTTCACTCTTACCTCCCTCAAGTTCAGTCTACGTACAGTAGCCAGAGGGATCTTTTAAAATAAAAATGAGATTTATCACTTCTTGGCTCACAACCTACCACTGCACTTAGAATAAAATCCAAATTCCTAACCATGGCCTATAAAAGCCACACAATATGGCACCCTTTACCTCTCGAAATGACTCTCCTGACTCTTCCTTGTTCAGGACACTAGCTCCACTGGCCTCTCCAATGTTTTTTAAACAAGGTGTTTCTCATCTTAAACCTTTACTCTTGTTTCTGCCTATGTCTAGAGTGTCCTTTTCCTGGCTCATCACATGGCTGGATCTTTGTTACCATTAAGATCTCAGCATAAATATTACTTCCTCAAAGGCCTAACTTGACCATATCAATTAAAGTTGCTCCCAAATATCTCCCAATTGCTTTTCGATTTTTTTTCCTACTAGGATATAAACTCAATCAGAGCAGAGACTTCATTTGTCTTATTCACAATTGTATCCCTGGCACCTAAAACAATACTTGGCAAATAATAAGTGCAATATTTATCTAATGATGAAAGAATAAATAAGTAAAATTTGAAATTCTTGCTTTTTTTGAATTCACAATTTGAGTTAATAGCACCTCAATGTTAGCAATAGTTGATTTCTATTTCCCTCCACCCTCTTGTAACAAGTTCTCTAATTTTTAAGTGTGTCTCATGGACCTGGCTCCTCCTCCTTTCTGTGGCTCTGAATTTCAGGCCATGAACTCTCCCCTCAGTTCCTGCGACTATCTGGGACCAGTTTCTAGCTTCTTCCCTCTCCATTTCTAGCATTGCTGTCATTGGTAACTTTCCAAGAACCAGACCATACTAACCACTATACATCATTAGTTTACATGTTAAATGGCAATAAATATTCATAGCCATATGATGTCTACTTGCTATTTCAGAAAAAAACAGGTGCATATGCACAGGTGGAAAATTTACATTTTCTGATACCAACTGGGAAAAGGTCTCTTTGGCGAAGTGTTTTACTTTTTAAATACAGTTTATTGAGGTATAATTGTCGTTTAAGTAAGAAGCATACTCAAGAAACAGATTTTCTAAAATTCTTGGCATATAATCCGGCCCCAATCCACATCTCCAGCTACAACTCTGTTTTACTCCTGTTCGTGTTTTCACCACCCAGCACATTACGTCTGAGTATGTTTAACGATCAAAAAGCCACAAGACTGTTCTTGACATCAATGAGAACCTTATTTTTCAAAATGCGGTATCTAGATACAGAAAAAGCTCACCAAACAAACGTCTTGAACTTACACTTTTCCGAGCCGAGAAGTCGTGGAAATGAGGCCAATCAACGGCCCCGTGCTTTAATTTGCCAAAATGCTCGAAGCCGCAACATCTGCGCCTGCCCACGGCCGCTTCTCGAGAAATATTTCTTGAATTTGACAAATTACCAACAAGTGATGTTTCTCGAAAGAAAACAATCACAACCGCAGAGGAATATGGCCACAGGGAGTGTGTTTTGGCCAACAGGTCCGTCAAGTCTGAGTAACTGTTACAGTAGCGGCGGCAACGATGACCCGGGGAAGAAAACACAAGCAAACAACAGAAATTCAAATATTCCCTCACCCTGGGGAAGCGGCTTTCCTCTCCGGAATAAAGAAGACCGGAAGTCCCGCCTTGACCGTGCCACCTCCCCCCCCCCGC